CCCCCCCCCCCCCCCCCACACACACACAATAAAAGACCCTGGGTCATCTATTATGTCCCAACGTAAAAAAATTTCAGGAGGGTTTTGTATTAAGAACCGCATTTTTTCCTAATATTTAATTTAAAAGGTTTTCGAGAAAACTATGACGATTTTCAAGGTTCTAATGGTGCCATTCTAATTGTGAACATGTTCTCTTAATATTTCCAGCTTAAAATGCTAAGAATCGGGCATATTTTGATGAAAAAATGCTAATTAAAGGGGGTCATCTATTACGTCGGACAAACTTTTTCTTCAGGGGGGTCTTCTAATATTGGGGAAGGGGGGTTACTAATATTACCAAAAAAATAGTAGAGGGAACTCATGCGAAGAATCAATTACCTCCATTGTTCCGTATAAAAAAAAGTCAAATATTTTACACTATGATGATAAATATAGCTCGCTCTATAAGAAACAGAAAAGAAAAATGTTTTCTTTTTATTATTATTATTCCAAAATTTGATTTTTTTGGTAAGATGATACAATAATTCGAATGCAATTAAAAGATATTCAACTGCTATAAAAATGAAATATTCTTGATAGTTGCTTTCAGAGTATTGCACGAAAGCAAATAGGAATCATCGAGTAATATCTACATATTTTTGGAGAAAAAATCTGCAGCAATAATCTTGTTGCATTTTTTTATTTTCTAATCTTTTATTCACCGAAAGCATTTTTTTTACTTATATTATATTCGGAGAGTAATTACAAAGCTATTTCTTTAATAAAAGAGAATGTGCTCAATAGGCAACGAAGAAACTATTACCCTACATAATTCACCCAAATTGTTTCTAATAATTATTCAATAGTAATTGGTCGTCTTGTGTGACTAACACTTGTTCTATACAATCAACGGTTACAACTAAATAAATGAAAGGTATTAGTTTAGTGCTGAATGAGAAGAATACGTGGAAGAAAAACACCGAGATAAAGTATTGATTTCAAGATAGAATAGAATAAATGGAAGATACTCTAAACGTATATCCTTTAAGTAAATAGCTTGTATATTAATTATACAATTCAATTGGTCTCTACATCGTTGTTTTTTCTTTTTAACATGATACTCTGCCGATTGCTGCATAAAATTTTGAAATGCTTTAGAAAAATTGTTGATTTTTACAAGGAGAGAATTAAGTGCTTCTTTTGATACAAATCATACTTCATGATTGTGATGCTGAAAAATAAAAATTAGCTGTTCGACACCCATGGACTACTTTCAGTTTCAGCATAATTGATTTTCAGCAGCTGTTACTCGTCGTCGATTTTGAATTGCATAAAAAACGTAGCCCAAAGGCAGTTTAATCCTTTTAAAGAAAAAGTCTTCAGATGTACGTTTTGTGCCAGAATTGAATGAAGCGTTTTATTTATTTAAAAGTATTTTATAAATAAAAAGTTAATGGTAGACTACAAAACGGATCAATAACAACTTCGAAATGTTTTCTCGCTATACTCAAGTAGGCAAACGTTTTCAAAAATGCTCCTAGCACTTTTTAACATTGATTTAATGAATCGAATGATATTATAGTAGCTTCAGTTGAGTGATAATGTAGCATTTCTTATAATAGCTAGTAGTGCGAGTGACACTAAGGTCAATCGTGATCATAAAATGTGTCTTACAGATATTTTCAGTTTATTTAGCTCGAAAATTGAAGCATTTAAAAAACTATGATCTATTAGCTCCCAAATTTGCGTTTTTATTTAATCAATTCTTTTAGACAATTGTCTTTAAAGCATTTAAACTATATAATATTGAATAACGGTTAAAATGAAAGAAATTCAACTATTTATTTTACATTTGAATACAATTGTATTCACATATTCAGATAAAATCTATAACAAAAAGAAAAACATGGGCATTCCATCTCCCACTATTCTCTTTTCATACTACCAATGCTTACATATATTTGTGTAGCTATCAACTGACGTCCTCTACTTCGAACGCCATCTAATAATAAAAAGTTGACATCATCGAAAAGAATATATATTTTCCACTATTTACATGGAATTTTATTTTAATTTAATTTTCTATATAATTATGTACCTTTTGATCGAAAAAGATAAATTTAATTAAAATCTACAAATCACTCAATACATTTATCATCATTCGCTGTCGAACATTCGACGACATTATACACTAGAAACATGTGCATACCACATTAACTAGTAGATACATACATTTATATATATATATATATATATGTTTACTTGTTTATTATTTTTACTCTCCTTCTTCTCGAATGTATTAATTAAAAGATGAAAAATTAAAATGAAAAAATGATTCAATTATATACGTATACATTTCAGATTGTTAAAAATTTATTTACATTGTGTTAAATCAAATACAAATATATTTTGCTTGTTTTCCGTTATTCATATATATATATATCTTCATAAATAAAGATGAGTTCATCGGCGGAGGAAAAAGCCGAAGTAGAAGCATTGATTGCTCAACTAAGTTCATCGTGTGATACTGATAAAACATCCCATTCACATGCTAGTGGTGATGCGAATGCAGCAGCAGCTGAACGTAAACGTTTACAAATACGTCGAAATTCAGGTTCGAATTCAAATACACAATTAGTTGGATCACCAACAGATGTACATGGACATTTATTACAAAAAAATGCAAAGATTTCAAAGAAATATAATCGAAAATCAAGACAAGGTTTCTTGTTTAGCTAATTAAAAAAAAGCAACATTTTTATTTTCGTTTTCAATAGGAAAAGGTCGTGGTCTAGCAAAGAAGGGCGGCGGTGGTGGTGGTTTCACATGGGGTGTACCAGGCTCTGAACTACTCGAAGAATATAACGAAGAGTTAGACGATGACGATTTAGCCGATTTACAATATAACGAAGCTAAAGCTAAACTTGTTGCTGAATCATCTAACGTTCCATTAGAAGTAAAATTCACTAAATTAGAGGTAATCGAAAGCATGGATAAAGATGTTAAACCATTGGTTGATGAGTATTTTGTAAATGGTGATGCAAATGATGTTGCACAATTGTTGAAAAAATTTGACCTCAAACAACGTGGCGGCGAATTAATTGCTTATGTTGTTACAAGAGCATTAGAAAAGTCGAATGTTCATAAAGAATTAATATCACGTCTTCTACATGATCTTAATGGAATTATATTACGTTCGAATGATTATACTAGTGGATTTCATTCATTATTAGAATCATTGAATGATTTATCGCTTGATAATCCTGAATGTTCAACTGACATTGGTAAAAAGAATAATTCTTACTTTTATTTAAACGTTTTTTTGCAAATTTTTAGGTAAATTTATCGCTCGTTCTATTGCCGATAAATGCATTGATAATGCAGATGGAAAATATTTCGGTAAATATAAAGGAAATGTTAAATGTCCAAAGATGCAAGCAGCACTTGATAAAGCTGAAACATTGGCATCAATGGGGGATTTCTATTTTCTGAATAATGTTTGGAATGCACAATCGAGTATGATGAAAAGACAAAAAATCTTTTTTTTTTCAAGCTGATAATTAAAAGTAGATATTTTGAAATTTTAGGTGGCTTCCGACCTGTACGAGAATTAGCTGATAGAATGAATATTATTATTCATGAATATTATGATAGTGGAGATGTCGATGAAATAATTCGATGTTTGAAAGAATTAAATGTACCACATTTTATTCATGAATTTGTTTATGAACTTATGGATTTCTGTCTTGACAAAAATACGGAACGGTTAGTTTATTGAATGAACATAAGCAAAAGCAATCTGTTTTCTTCTTTAAATTTTAAACATAACATATTGAGCGTAAATATCTTTTCATTTTGTGTGAATTTCTTCGAGATTTGATAGAAAACGGGAACACTTGAAAGGTTAATACTTTCTATTTTAATTTTTATAATGTATGACTAGAAATAGGAGCCGTGAATCAAAATGTTTTCTTCTGATTAGACTAAAACTTTTTCGTTCATCCGTAGATAATCAATGAGAGGTCTTATACGACATGCTATTATTTAGACTTGATACACACAGCTGAATAGAACGTAAATTGATCAGAAAAACGCCCTTTTCTGCTATTGCGATGCTTGTAACTTGTTAAGAGAAACAACTCACAAAGCAAATTTCGTGACCTTTCATTCGACTCATAATCTTTTACTTTTTTGTCTATGTTTGAATTGTTGTTAAAAGTAGATCGAATAAAATGAGGTAGAAAAGTAGATTGTTACCAAAACAAATTTTCGTACAATATTAAAAATTTAGAAACGAAATTTGAAATGTAGATGTGAGTATAGGCCTTTCATGTGGCAAGTTTGCATTAGCTAAAAATGACTCCATCAAAATAGTTTGATATTATTTTGAATCGTTCATATTTCATTTCTAGTGCTCAACAATTAACAATTGGTCTACTTGAAAAATTGACAAAATCAGCTGTGATTACTTATGACCAACTGAAAACTGGCATGTTACGTTTATTCGATGATATCGAAGATATTCATCTAGATGTTCCCAATGTTTATGAACAATTGCAAACACTTCTTAAACAATTAGAGGAGAGGAAAGTTCTTAATCATGACTTAACAGCAAGTTTACCACAAAAAGGTCGCAAACGTGGTACAAGCGAGGGTGAAAATAATAAACAAGAGAAGAGTTAAGACAATGAAAAGCAAATGTAAGTTTATAACTACTCTTATAATCTCAATAGAAAGAAATGCATGTTTTTGTTCTTCTTTTAGTAAAAACATACGACATCAAGGCGACTCGTTTAAAAATAATGAACAGTTAAAAAAATAAGAATTCTGCTAGCGGCATCTAACTTTGTTTTTTGTCTTTTTTGTTCACAATTTGCCATTTGAGTCGCATAGAAAAACACAAAAGAACTATTTTTTTTCGATGAAAACATTGAATAAATTTAGATCCTTACGATGATAAACTGTTTTCTTCCTGCAAAGTATTCCTCATTTTTCAAGTCAACATTTAACCGTTTTTTTTTCTTCTTGTTGATTCTGTTTTGGTGATTGATACGTGATTGTGTGTTTGAATATATATTATCACTTGAAACATAGTGTAGCAAAACGACACAAGCACAGAATGATCAAAAATCTAGTGATATCATGATTTTCATATTTGCACACACACAAACACATCTATAAATATATTCATTCTTTTCTCAGGAAACATCGGTACAGGCAAAAAAAATTTCCGATGATTATATATATGGATGTGGATGTTTGTGCCTATATATTAAGAGCTTTCTCTTTCATTGGGTTGGGTTTTTCTCGTTTTGTTTCTGTTATCGTTTGGCTTCGTTTTATTTATTATGTTATTCATAAATAAACTTTTCTTGCACTTTTCATATGTTCTTTTCTTATTACTCAATGAATTTCACATAAACATAGTAGCTGAATCTAAATACCACTACGAGGCTAGGTTTTACATGTCGACTTGATTCTTGGGGGCATTGTAGACTTACTTTCGATTTATCGCACACGCTTCTGTCTCGGAATAAGAGAGTACTACTAGACTTTTATATTTAAAACTTGTACTCACGATCTAGCTGTTCAGCAAGGCAATCAGATGTACGCTCATCCTTAATGCACGCATGCCACAATATATAATCTCGATTTAGGAAAGTTCAGTTTAGGAGATAAATCAAATGAAGCCTAAACCATAACCAAAAAAAGAAAAAAGAATATTCAATCCAAAATTTATTGTACTCTACACAATATTTAATTCAAGCAGAAAAAATGGGTGAGATATCCGACTTTCAGATTAAAAAAAAAATAACCTTGAACTCGGATGATTTGACAGATGAATATATTCCCTTGATAGTCGCTAACTGCTTTTCTTCCAGACATGACTAATTGAAAGAAATAGGCCGACATACATGTATATAGCTAGCGTGTACATGATTTACTGTCCGCGGGTTTACTGCCCACGGATTTACTGTCCATTGATTGGAAAAATATTATTCCAATTAACTTTATTTTTGTATGAGGATTTACTGTCCATTAATTGCTTCGAAGAAGATAAATTAATAAATGAGCAATGGTCTTGACAGTCAATCCCTTTTCTGAACAAAAAATTACATGAATGTTGCAAAGCAAAAAAGTCACCAATGAGCAAACTATTGAATAAACTTTCAATTTAAAATGACGGATGCTCATCCAATTGAGGGGTAAGATAGTCATTAATATGACAAAAAATTATAAAAAATATACATAAATTCAAAGAACATAATTTTCTTATCATACTCTTGCTAAAAATGGCTGCTATATTTACTGAACCTACCCATGGTAAACGACAATTATGCTACCTCGATTATCGATATTCCATCATTCTTAAAAGCTGCTGGACTTTGATATTTTCAGCGTCCACCAAAAAGTTGAACGTCCATTCATCTTTTTTGGTTTATTTATTAATCAATTCCTTATTCTCTTTGTTATTTCCTCATATTTTTGCTCGAATTCTTTTTTTTTCTGAATATACATAGTTGATTGCGATAAATATTTTTCTGTTCATTTCTATTCTTCGAGGCAATCAGCGGACAGTAAATCCTCAAACGAGAAAGACGTTAATTGGAAAAAAAGTTATTCAATCAATGGACAGTAAATCCTGTAAACTATAGCTAGATCAGTTTGCGTTTTTAGGTATAGAATTACTATATTGATATAATTGTTTCCCTATCCAAAATGATTGAAGCAAAACGAAGAGAGAAATAGAGAGAGAGAAGAAAATTTCTGTGGACACATCTTATTTTGTAAATTGATCCTAAAATATTGACATCGACAACAAAAACTATACTAGAAGTTGTTTTTAAATCGTAAATATTATCAAACTAGATTATTTCAACAGCTGACGATCTAATTAAGTATCAATTACAGGGGGGGGGGGGGGGGGGGGGG